CATGACCAAGAATAAGAACTCACTTGCATTTTTATTACTCTACAGGCTTTCTGGACCTCATGTGTAAATATGAGGACGTGATTTAAATAAATCAACAGGACAGCTGCTCGTCAAATCTGAGAAAAGAAGTAAAACGCCTCAAGTGTGAAGTTTGAAACAAAATAAAACGTTGAAGGGTCAGAAACCGTAACACAAAAGCAAGGCACCAGTTTATTTTGTCCATTTGATGTTTTTTTTTTAATAATAATCTGATGCAGCAAATGGGACAAGCAGTCATTCTCAGTTATAGATCAGTTTGTATAAAACAAAACCTCTTCATGCAAAATATATTTAAATATTTGAGGGAAATAAATGTTTTCTTGCGAGTAATCTGAGCCCAGAACGTAGAAATAAGTTAAAGCGCAGTGACGTCCATAAAGGAGGATGAAGAGCGTTAAACCCCAAACGTCTAATTTAACTTCAGTTTATGCTCCTCGGTTACTTTTGTGTAGTTGACACAATTTGTTTAAATTTGATAAAAGCAGCGAGACATCTTTGTTTTTATGGTTCGGTCTTTTTTTTTTTAACCTTTTGGGGGTTTTCTTCAGCTCTTCAGGTGTTTTCTCTCTGGGCTGCAGCTGTTTCTAAACAGCTGCAAACAAATAAAATGAAAGGTTAAAAACAAAAAATTGGACGTTTATTCTGAAGCTGAAGACTAGAGTTGGGCATCAAGTCTCAATAATCCATTGAAACGGGGACTAAGACGCCGATTCTCCCGGCATTGTTCAAATATTTTCGATTCCTTTTTCCGATGCCTAGTCCGCCGACTGGAAGAGGCCGCAGGAAGTGTGCGCGCGACCATGGACAGTGTGCAGCGGCGATTGAAAGTGTGGCTTATTTTTAATAAAAGAAATGACCAGTCGGCTCAGTGCAACACTTTTAATAAGATTATATTGTGCAAAGGAGGGTTTATGACCAAGATGATTAAACACCTCCAGGTTCGTGGTGCAGAAGGAACGGTGCCTCGTCCCGCTCCGACCTGCAGCCCATCAACTCACGGCAGTCAGAATCAAGTAAAACAATAAAACGTGTCTTGTACTAATATTAAGGCAGCTAACAAGTTATACGCAACGTAAAGTGGTGGGTCGACTCAAAAGCAAATACCACGCCAACGTTTGCTCATTTTAAATTTATACAATAGTTGAAAAGTGAGAAATTCATAGTAAAGTTAATAAAAAGTTCATAGAATTAAAATTCAAAGATAATTTCAAACTATTAGAACTCTGGTTAGCTAGTTTATTTAAAACCATGTAAACTTTTTTTTTTTTTTTAACCCTGCCTCTAAAAAGAATCGAGAATTGACAGGAATCGAAACACTGGAGACGTTCATTATTTGGGATCGATGAAGCCTCCCGGTTGGGAAGCGAAACGTCTTCAGCTACAGAATAAAACTCCAGTTTTTGTTTAACCTTTTCTTTTTTTTTTTGGTGTGCAGGGATTCGGCTTCCTCGTGCGAGTTGAAGAGGTTCGCAGACTCGTTGCTTGAAGTTTGAGCACGTTTTTGTGCGACAGAACAGAATCGGTCGTCTCAGGAACACGAGGATGAGACAGAAAACATGCTTGGGTCTAAAAACCACACAGATCCTGATCCGCCGATCATTTCAAAGGTTTACCTCCAGGGGATGAAATCTGTAACTGGCCGTTCAGTCACAAACTCATAATTTATAGACGGCAACTGAAAATGTCTTTGTTGGTGTTTTGGGTCATGAACTTGTCTCTGAGTGAGATCTGCTTCCAAAGAGTTCAAACAAGTCTAAATATAAATTGTGCCTTTAATATCAGGAAATGGACCGGAAAGAAGCACGTTGTATTTTAACCGTGCGTGTTTCATGAATTTCTTTTTTTTTTTTTATAAAATTGGAGTTTTTTTTCCTCACACTTTTCATTTAAACTCAGCCTTAAAGAGTTTGCCTTAAATTATTTGGCCTTTTGTTATAGTAGAGACACTCGTACGTCCCAGTAATGTTTTCAAACCTCTTAGTTTTCTCTGAACGTCGAGGCGTTTGCTTCAGTTTATCATTTTTATTTCATTTAATTCTGAGCAGGATCTGCGTCACGTGGCAGTTTTTGTTGCTCGTCATGGAGCGAAGACAGGGCGTCCGTGAACATCGTAAGCTTAACTTGAAAAATAAGTGAGGTACCAATTTCTATTTTGGTGTGTGGCTACATCTAGACGTAAGAAAGGTCACCATCGAAAACTGGGTTGCCATGTCAAAATCCAAGATGGCTGCCACTATATCGTTTGAGGAAACTATGCTTTCTAGTTTTCTATAAATCACACTGCAGCAGGACAGTGGTGAGATGTGCAGTAGGAGCGACAGTTTCAAGGTTGAGGTGGGAGTGCATCAAGGATCAGCTCTGAGCCCCTTATTGTTTGCTCTGGTGATGGACCGACTAACAGATGAGGCCAGGCAGGAATCTCATGGACTTTGATGTTTGCAGATGATGTGATCTGTGGTGAGAACAGGGAACAAGTGGAAGAGAACTTGGAGAGGTGGCGGTATGCACTTGAAAGAAGAGGAATGAAAGTCAGCCGTAGTTAGACAGAGTACATGTGTGTGAATGAGAGGGAGGCCGGTGGAACAGTGAGGCTACAAGGAGCAGAGGTCACAAAGGTGCAGGACTGTCCAGGAAAATGGGGAAAGTGGTAAAGAGGTGAAGAAGAGAGTCCAGGCAGGTGGACTGGATGGAGCAAAGTTTCTGGAGTGATTAATGACCAAAGGGTGGTAAGAAACGTCAAAGGAAAAGTTTACAAGACAGTTGTGAGACCAGCTTCATGTTGTATGGTCTGGAGACAGAGACATGGACAAAAAGACGAGACAGAACTGGAAGTGGCAGAAATGAAGATGTTGAGGTTCTCCTTAGGAGTGACACGGATGGAGAAGATTAGGAATGAGATCATCAGAGGTACAGCCCAGTTTGAACAACTGGGAGATGAAGTTAGAGAGGACATGTCCAGAGGAGGGACTGTGGGTCTATTGGTAGAAGGATGGTAGAAATGCAGCTGCCAGGAAAAAGACAAAGAGGAGATACATGGATGCAGTTAGAGAGAGATGGAGGAGGATGACTCGCTGTGGAGACCCCTGAAGAGGGAAAAGCAGAAGGAAGTTTTTGTTTTCCCTAAAAATATGATGATGATTGGGGTGGCCAAAGATTAATTTGTGGTGGTCAAGGCCACCATTGGCCACCCCCTTACTCCACCACTGCACCCGGTGGTGGATAAAATGGCTTCCTCCACACTCCAGGGTCCGTCGTTCTGCGCCATCTTGAACAAGAGAAAAAGGAAAAACACGTCCTCTGTTCTTCTTCACTGTGTAACGTCCCAAAAACATTTATTCCTCGTTTCCTCGTTCAGTTCCAGTGCAGAAAAAAACACTCTTCTCCTAAACTACAAACATTCACTGTTCAAGCTCCTCCGAGCCGGGGGGGATTTGTACGTACTGCTTGTTTCTGCTGGTTTTTATTACAATTTTCAAACTGCCTCCTTTGGGTTACACGTCTTCACGGCTAAAGTCAAAACCAGAGATTTTGTTTTCGTGCACCAATGGTTTATTTTACGCCTGAACTTCAGGTCTTCAGTGCAGCTCTGCAGCTGAGGGGGATTACAACTCAAACTTTAGCTGCAATTATAAAACTCCAGGAAAACAGAGTAAACTTGCACAGTTTTATATAACGCAGCAGCCAATGGAAATTGGTTTTAAGTCTTCCTGTTTATGATGCTCAGCAGTTCAGGCAACTTTAACTCAAAACTAATAAAATGTACATTCTGCTGTAAAAAAACAAACAAAAAAACATTCTGTGTGAAAACATCGTCCGTGACTCGCGTAAAGTCTAAATGTTGTGTAAAAACAGACGGTAAAAAGCCAAATTCAGTACAAAGTTACATTTCTTTTAGTGTTTCTGAATCCGTTCTTTGTCAGATCGTACGTATTCCAACAAAACTTTGAAACCAGAAAATGACATTCGAGAAACGTTTCAAAGCGGCTCCTCGACGCTCCGTTAACGTCTCAGCTGGCTGCGTTTCAGCAGAGCAAAAACCGTTTTTGTTTCAATATTGTTTTAAAGAACTGAGAAGATCAAAGTTCCCTGCAGGTCAGAAAGAACTACAGTCGAAGGCAGAAAACTACAAAACTACGTCCGGACCGGCCACTCAGACTGGGCTCAGCAGGCCGTCACCCCACAAACACCACACCTTTGTTCTTAATGTGCGAAATCCTCTAAGGTCTCAGAACGTCATAAAATAGTCCCTATTATAAATATAAATGTAACTATTAGTTTGTTTTAGTCAATTTCTGATGGTATTTTAGTTTATTTAACCAAAACTGCTTTTATGCTCAACAGAAACAGCGTCTCCTGTCAGAACGTGGTTCAGCCGTGGGTGAGATTAGTTTAAAATTAATTTAAAGTCCTTTGATGCTGAGGTGGGGAGGTAACCTGTGCTGTGAAAATAACTTTTCTCAGATCAGTTCATGCCTTTAGTTCCAGTTCTGTGTTTGAAACATGCAGTTCATGCTTGACCCCGCCGGTTCTGTTAAACGTGCACCTCATTAATTCATGATTTCATATCGATGCGTCTTTCATTCTGAAGCTTTAAGGGTCAACTCGATCAACGGTGCACGTTTAAGATCGAGTGCATACCCATCCGTTATCTTTACCCGCTTCTTCCTGTCCGGGCTGTGGACGTCACACCCCCAGTTTTAATTTGCAGATCAATTAATTAATTTAAAAAAAATATATATATATTTTCAGTCGTCACCGTTTGGTTTAAACCAGAACATTTTTTATCTGAGTGCAGAACTTGTAATCAGAACCTTGAGGGTTTGTTGTCAAAACTCTGATTTTCAGCCCGTGTTGAAAAACTGCGACTATTAAATGAATCAACATTAAAACACGCCCCCCACGTTAGGCTCCGCCCCCTTCAAAGATTAAAAAAAAACATTTCTGAGGTGAGACCTTTGAGTCTATTTTAGCCGAACGTGGGGCATGTTCATTAGTTCGGCGCTGCCGGAGGTGGGGGAGGATGTTGGACCGCTGGCCAGACTTCGGTTGGAGTCCCGGGACCCTGCCCCCCCTCTGCCTCCTGTCCTCAGGAGCGTTTGAGAAAAGGTGTGAGCCTCAGTGGTCCTGTGTGACAAGAAGTTGAACCCCTGCCCCTTCATGTCCCTGTCGCTGATAAAGAGGTCCTCCTCCCCCCAGCTGCCTCCACCTCCTTCACCCCCATCCCTGCCTCCTCCCCCTGGGTCCTGGCTGCTGCCGTGGAAGCCGATGGGAGAGTCGCTGCTCGTGCTGGGGCTCGGAGATGACAGGCTGTGGCTTTGGTGGGCAGCATGGACAGGGGAGACCTGCATCAGGTCCTGCACAGACATGGACTTACCCAGTCCTCGGTCCATTTGGACGGGTCCCGAGCAGCAGCCGGGAACCGGGGGCACGAGAGGCTCCAGCTCCAGGCTCATGTGCCTCCTCCAGGAGCCGTCCTCCTTGGCAGTAAGCCTGCAGTTGGTGCTGCCTTGCTGGCCCAGTGGGCTCAGCTCCAGCTCCAGTTCAAGGTCCTTCTGGAGACCCGTGTCCTCCACCTGCCTCCCTAACCCCCCGCAGAAGTCCTCTATTTCAGGACATGTCTCTGTATGCGTCCCTCGCACCAACTTTCCTTGTCCACTCCGGGTGGACGGGGGCGGTGGAAGCCTCGCTAAAAGTGAAAACTCTCCTCCGCCGACTCCCCGGCCCCCAGAACTGCTGGTGCTGTTCGGGGTGAGAACAGCATAGTCGGTACCGCTTTCAGGTGACGTGGCTTGAACCTGCTTATGATGACGATGATGCAGGGGCGACTGGCTGAAACGGGAAGATGCGAGGCCAGAGGGAGGTGTGGAAGAGGAGGTGCTAAGGTTAAGCTCGTTCGGAGGTGCCAGGATCAGATGGAGTCCTCCCTGGGAAAGGTGGGGACTGGTTGAGCAGCATGTGCCAAAACCACCTGAAGGAGGCGCTCCACCGCTGCTCACCTGAGCAGAACTGGACAGGTCCTTACTGAAGACCGAGGAGTTGTAGTCGGAGGTCTGTTCCAGCTCGAACAGGGGCAGGGAGGAGAGCGTGATGGCTGAAGAAGAGCCTTTACGTAAAACCTGACGATAAATGTCGAGCAGAGAGTCCAACTTTGACTCGATGGATTGGACCTGCAGGGAGAAACACATTTAAGGTGATGTGCATACAAAGACTCGAGACAATAGTCAGTGTTAAAAAGTCATGGTGTGAAAACCACTAAATGTTTCAGTCAAACGTTTCCAAACGTCTTACTTATAAGCGTAATTTCGTTAGTCGCTAACCTGAAGATAAATGCCGACTCAGCACCAAACAGAACCAACAGGGATGACCCATCTGAACACAAAACCTGAAAGTGTCCACACAAGTCGTGTCCCAAGATTACCCAGCAAACCACCCCCCCCCCCCCCCCCTGTCGTTTGTGTTCAAGAACAACATGTAGTTTCAATAATTCAGACTGAAATGTAACGGTAACCCACAGAACTGATGACAACCTAAACGTAACTTTCATTTATTGGAGCAACCAGAATTTAAGGGTGGATTTATTTTATTTACATTTTACAATTGAACCCACAAATCATCACATGGCCCAAAGAATGTCTTCAAGGCCTTCCTGAAGGCTCAGAGGTCTGTGCTTTGGTCCCACCCACTCTAGGTCGGCGTTGTGATTGGTTAATATTCCTGTTGGTAATTAAACTCCTCCTTCAGAGACTCCGACTGAGCTCAGCCTTCGCTCTTGACCAATGAGAAAGAAGCTTCAGGCATGTTTCTGCCTGGAGACACAAATTTAAGCTAATGTGAGTGTGATGTTTCCCCTAACATTATACAAGCAAGGCACCCCGCCCTGTCAACAGAACTGAGAGCCCTCCCCACCGCCCTCCTTTGTCTGCAGGGCCAGCACTGACGTAGCGCTATGCTAGCGGCGCGCAACACAGACGCACTAGCTTAAAAGCTACATAGGTAGTGCGCTGAGCCGTCTCCACCCCCCACCCCCCCCGCTCCAAACAGTGTGCGAGACAGATGCGTCTTCATCTACCCCGTCCACGTCCCCATTGACAATAGTCACGGAATATACGAGCGCCCTGCCCAGGCAAGTAAACCAGGGGCAACGCTGGATTGGCTAATTGTGATTTCATCATTAGAAGAAAAAACCCAGCAAAAAACAAAGTACATTGATTTTTTTTAAATTTTTTTTACAAATATAAAATAAACATTTTAAAAAATTCCATGCAACATTTCATATGAATTCTTAGGCCTTCTCTGAAGGCTCAGAAGGCCCTGAGTGCTCGCCACTTTATTATACGTTACCTATGGAAAGCAGAGAAATCAGCAACACTTCTATAAAATTTAATTTCCGGACCGTGACGACACATACTTAAGATTATCGCACCATCAGAATCTCACACCGACCAACACTTGCACACGACATTCACTTCTGACAAAATAGTTTGAAAATGTGGCGTCACATCACTGTGGTTTTATCTGTTGCTGTGTATTTTTATGCTTCCTATTTAAAGCTGCCTCGTCTATAAAATCAGGAAGAGGAGTGAATCAAACCACTGATCTACAAAGATCTCTCACCTGCCGTTCCACCTTACAGACCCGGCCCAACATGCTCATGTCCTCCAGTATTTCCCCCTCAGACAGCAACTTCTCTCGTATCTTCTTATCCAGAGGGATCTGACCCCTCCCCAGGATTTGGTCCACCCTGGATTGGACACCAAACACAAACAGTTAATGACAGAAAAAAAATCAAGTATTGATCCACAACCAGTCGACAGGAAGGAGCATTGCGGGGTAAAACAGAAGCAAATTTTATATTCTGAATTATGGTGCTCAAATGTTAATTCAACCAGATTATTAATTTTTTTTTGTTAAAAATGCTAAATATTTAAACCAAATGATTGGCTTGGTAGTTTAAAAATGTTGTTTGGTACATACCTTAGATTGGTGTTAAAATCTTTTTTTTTTTTTTTTTTAACTTTAGAAATATAGATTTAATTTAGTAAAACATCCATAAAAAGGGAAGTCATTAAGATTTATGCATCTCACTTGAAGAGCAACCCAAACCTTCAATCAGATTCTTTTTACTGTAGAAACATTTCTCGTCCACATGAGAACTCTGGACTTTCCAGAAACACAGAAATTGACCCAAACGTTGCAGTAACTACGTCAAGCCTGTGTGTGGCGCTGTTACGCTGCCGCAAAACGCCACCAGGAACGGTACGGAGGACGCGTAGCAGAGGCTCTAAACCGTAAAGAAAAAAGAACAAGTCGAGGACGGAGAACACGAGCAGGAACCAAATCCTCTTCGCTTGCCTTGGCAGGTCGATCATCTCTTCGAGGAGTGTTTTTTCCCAAATGGGGGCGGGGTTTAGACATGTCTGTGTTGTCAGCTACTTTTATGCCGGCAGTTGTCCAATAGAGGGTGGGGGGCGGGGCGTGAGAGAAGTGGTGTGCTACATAGCTAGTGTGTCTGTATTGCGCACGACTAGCTTAGCGCTATGTCGTCAGTTCCGGCCATTGTTGGGGCGGGCGCGGTGTTGAAGGACAGTTTGGTAGGCAGGGCGCTCGGTTCTGTTGACAGGGCGGGACGCCCACTTTGTGTAATGGTGGGGGAAACACAGCTCTTTGTGGACCACCTTCAACCACCGTCAGTTGGGTCGGTCCAAATCCACAGACATAATGGACAGTTTCAGGCTCAGAATCCAATGAGAGAGAAAGAGAAACAAATTTGATCAGTGTTCAAAATTATTTATTAACCCTTATTTATTTATTAATCTTTATTTATCAAGGTTAATTACACAAGTATGAGTCTTATAAGCTATTTTCTCTTCCCACATTATTTAAATGAATGTGGGGTAATTAGCTCTTTTCTACGTTTGCTTTAGCGTCCAGCTCAATAAAGAAAATCTATTTGGCATTAGACTGTTTTGCGTAATTCAAAGGTTTGTTTGTTCGTTTAAGGCAGTTTTATCTGTATTTTCTTATTTATTGAAGTAATAAAAGATTTAAAAGTTTACTGTAGTAAAGCAACACCAACATAAGCAATAATTTCTCTTTACATGCATTATTGGTAGGTTAGGCCATACCAGAAATAAATCTTATCACTATATATATATATGTATTATTATTATTTTTTTAATGCTCAGTGTTTCCTAAAATGCCATTCCCATGTGGACGGGGCCTTTGTTGTACTGATGGAATAAAGTCGGGCTGCGAGCTTCAAGAGAAACGCTGCATGCGGTGTTTTCAGACAGCAGGGAGCAGTGTGACACAGTTGGTGTCAGGTTAGACCATAAACATGACTTACAATACTAGACATGTTGAAGCCAGCAAGAATCATTTTACAGAAGCTGTCATGATGGTTTTTTGGAACCAGAGTCTGTGCACGGCTTTAAGCCCCGCCCACTCCCCTCTACAATTACACGAGCTTTCTTTAAACATGAAATAACTAATTGCAGCTAAACATTTACAATAAATTAACATTTGAACATGGAGGGAGCGGGACATAGAAGGAGGTCTGGTACCAGACTGTGGGGTCATTTTCTCAGGTCCAGCTTCTTCAACAAGTCCAGTATTTTAATACAGATCTATGGATGAGGTGCACAGACGGTTCTGCAGCCAGATGTTAAAAACTCCTGAGGATTATTTCCAGAAGTCGCACCAGAAACCAGAATGGATGTTAGTGTTTACACAGAACAGAAACAAGATGAGACGTTTCTCAGTCCACTCAGTCAGCTCAAAGATGATCTTCAGGTTTCTTTGAAAACTCGTGGAGATGTTTTTAGATTGAAGGGACTTCTAAAATGTTTTTAAATGACTAACTGATTTTTTTAAAAGCCATTTTTCACCCTTGAATTGACTGAGTGAGAACTGAAAACATGTGTGATGTGAAGAATGAAGGATGACTGGGGGGGTGGGGGGTTCTGACCCCTGGTTGGAGTTCTTTCTGCCCTGGCTGTCACAGACATACAGGGAGGAAGAGGAAAAAGTCTTCACTCGGCTGCTCAGGGCTCGTGGGCCGACTATCCCGTCCAGCCTGTGAGGGAAGCAAACACACCGTATGCACACAAACAGCTACACACATGCAAAAATACAAAACGGTGTCAGGGCGACGTCTTTCTGTCCAGGTGAAAACATCCGAAGACACAGATCAGAGACTAACAGAGTCCTAAGGGATGAAAGCTGAGACCATGTGTGCCACCTGGTTCTGGTCCTACCTGGTCTGCAGGCTTTTAATGCGACACAGCATGTCCAGGTGACCAGCAGAGTACTGCTCGATCACATCCTTCACATCGTACGGGCGCAGCGTCTCCTTAAACTTCTTCTTTGCTACATGAAACTTCATTATCCTGCAGGAAGAGTAGAGAAGAATTCATCAGTCAGCCACAGGGGGCGCTCTGACCCAGAGGATTTATTAGTGCGCATAAATTATTCCGTTTCTCTTTTATTCACACAATTATGATCCATTTTCAGCATCTTTCTCGTTGCACACTTTTTGTGCTCTTTCAACAAATCATGAATCAAAACGTTCAGCTCGTTCGGGAGAAGGGTGCTATGACTTCTGGTATTGGTGCAACTTTAGCTTTTTGAAATATTTAGCCTTTTCTGACATTTTTTTTCCTCATAGAAAATGAATTTAGCTCATTTTACGTCCTTCAAAAATCTTTAGATCCGTTTACAACCTCCTTTCACATTTTGTTCTGCTTCAGCTTCCTTGTGCAAATTTAAACTTTTCAGCTACTTTCAGCTATTTTAGCTGTTTTTTTCAGCCATTTTGTGCTCCTTTTAGATTCTTTCTAACAAACATTTTTGTGCTTTTAACTTATTTCTGCCAATTTCAACTTGTTCTGCTCCTTTCAGTTAATTTCTGCAATTTCAGCTACTATTGAGCTGTTTTATGCTAATTTTAGCTTTTTAAGTTAATTCCACATTTTTTGCACTAATTTAAACTTTTTTCAACCTAATGCTGCAAAAATGTGCTCTCTCCACTTCCTTTGGTTAATTTAAGCTTCTTTCTGCCTTTTTGGCTAAATGTTTACTGGTTTTATGCTATTTAAGCTTTTTTCAGATAATTCCCACTTTTTTGTGCTCATTTCTGCTTCTGTCAGCCTAATTGGGCAAACATGTTCTTACTACTTTCTTCTGTTAATTTAAGCTAGTTCTACATTTTCAGCTACATTTTTAGCTAACTTCAGCTGTTTTCAGATAAAAAAAAATTTGTGGTAATTTCTGCTGTTTTCAGCTTATTCTCCTTTAAGTCTTTTCTGCCAGTTTCAGCTTTTTCTGCTACTATATAGCTGTTATATGCTAATTTTAGCCTGTTCAGCTAATTCCAGATTTTCTGGGGCTCATTTCAGCTCTTTTTGCCTTCTTCTGGTAGTTTGCGCTCCTTTCTGCCTTTTCAGCTACTTTTTGGCTATTGTTTTGCTAATTTCAGCTTTTTTTGGTTATTTTTTTCTTTTTTGTGCTCATTTAAACCTAATTCAGCAAACATGTTCTTTTTGCTTTCTTCTGCTAATTTAAGTCTGCTCTGCTGCTTCAGCTAACTTTCAGCTTGTTTTTAGCTAGTTGCAGCCGTTTTTCAGCAAGTTCTTCTGCAATTAGCATTTTCTCTAGTTGTTATTGTTTTCTTCTTCTTCTTCTGTTGGTTTTTGCAACAAAACGAGCGCTGCATAGATTGACCATCATAATTTCTGATTCTAGTCCGCGTGACTCAATGAGACTAACCTGTTTAAATAAAGGTTGAATGAAGGAAAAGAAGCTCATTCACATGATGCTGGCCATGACTTTTGGTGCTTGTGCTTTGAATCGTTTTTAAAATATTGAGCTTTAGTTAAGTTTCTAACTGCAGAGATTTAACAGATGTGTCAGCAGCTGGTAGAACACTGCCCCCAAACAACTGCAGCTTAAAGTGCAGCAGGCTTTAATAAAGTATTAATTAGCTCACTATGGTCCAGTAATTACAGTACTGATCTGCATTTTAACTTAGAGAATATATTTGTATTTATAAATATGAGAGATAACTTATTTATATATGTATAAAACAGAGATTTAAGCTCAATGAAAATGAGTCCAAGCGCACACTTTACACCCTCTGACGACACTTTTCCACAGCACGAAGTACGTTTGTGTGTAAAGTTGACATTCCTTTATATAATTTTCATATTAAAAGTAATAAAAGTTTTACATATTTAATAATTTGACATTGCAAGAACAAATACTTTTAATATGATTTTATTCATGAGGCCAGTTTTAAAGTGCCTTTAATAATTTCACTTTTAGATAACTTTCTTGAGAAAATTATTTGACCATTTCAAAAAACAGCAAAATTATTTATTTTGTACATACAGTTCAGTCAGTGTTAGCATAAACTGAGCTTTTAAGTTTGGGTGTCCTTGACTCTAAAGCAAGTGAACTAATCACCACGGTTACAGTCGCAGGTCGCAGGAACATGTCTGCACTGGTCCTTGTCACGAGTCCCAACAGATTCTTAAAGCCACTTAGAAAGGTCAAGGTCGAGAGCTTCAGGCCTTTTTTCAAGATATTCCAGAAAACAGGAGCGGAGTAGGAGAAGGCCCTTTTGCCAAGTTCAGTCCGCACTGAGGGAACACTGCAGGTAATAATGTCCTGAGAGCGCACGCTGTAGCTGTCCTTGTCCATCACATGAGGCTTCATTTTCAGTCAAAAGAAAAAATAAAGAAGGTATTGACTGGAGGACGAAAGAAACTCACCTGACGGCTCGGATGACGGTCTTCACCGACGGCAGCAAGTCCTCTACAGAAATGTCGCAGTGACAGCCCTTCTCATCGAACCCGTCCTCCCCCGCCAGGTTGGAGTCTGCTGCTTGAGAACGAAGATTATTCATTTACAGACTGGAGCCATTTTCATGTGAAGGCTACAACAGATTCTGGTTGAGATGGTCCAGAAAATAAACTGACGAGGAGTCAAAGAGGGACTAATGACATCTGGAGTCGGGCACCCCTCCAGATCGCCTTCTGATATCCCCTCGTGAGTTATGAAATTATGTGTTCAGAACTTCTGGAGGAACCAAACCAACTGATGGAAAATTTCTGAGAATGTTTTGCTTTACCTGCAGTTAAATAATAAATTTTGAAACAGGAGAACCGTGTCAGATAATTTAACGTGAGCTGAATCCCACCTGAAAATCAGAACTTCCTGTTAACTGATGGGATCAGTTTTAAGTCGCTTCTTTATAAGCCCCGCCCCATTTTGTGTAAAAATTTACACTTTTAAAAGATCCAAACAACAATTTTTAATTTATTTAGAGTCCTTAAATGAACAAGAATACACCGATGTCCTGTGGGATTTGAACAGTGAATGTTTGTAGTTTTGGAGATGAGTGTTTTTCTGGACTGGTCTGGAACTGAACGGGGAATGAAAGTAAACCTAAATGTTTTTGGTGCGAGATGTTTTAGTAGGTAGGAGTTAGAGGGAGTTTTTTTTCCTCGTCTGAGGCAGTGCAGAGTGATGGAGAGTGGAGGGAGATATTTTATCCACAACCATGGGCGGAGCCAGGGGGTGGCTAATGGTGGCCTTGGCCACTACAGATTAATTTTCAGCCACCTCGATCATTTTTGAAGAAAGGATACTTTTAAGCAATATAAAAACTAGAAAGCATAGTTTCCTCAAATGATGGGGTGGTTGGTATACACATGTACCCATATATATGGTGGTGGCCATCTTGGATTTCAGTGTGAAAGGAACCATTCTTAGCTAAGATGCAGCCACACAATAAAATGGAAGTTGGCACATTATTCATTTTCAAGTTGTCCAGCTCACAAGATGAACGGATTTCCAGTTCCTCTCTTCAATCCTCGACGAGGAACATAAATCTGTGACTGGCTGACAACTACCACAAGTGGCAGCACAACGGCTCAGTGGTTACCACTGTGGCCTCACAGCAAGAAGGTCCTGGGTTTAATCCCTGGTTGGACCTCGGGTCTTTCTGTGTGGAGTTTGCATGTTCATCTCGTGCTTGTGTGGGTTTTCTCTGGGTACTCTGGTTTCCTCCCACAGACCAAAAACATGCATGTTAGACTGTCTTCAGGCCCAGGCCTCTCTTGCAAAAGGGATCTGATCTTAGTGGGATTTGCCTGGTTAAATAAAGGTTAATAAATAAATGATTGTTTACCTACGAAACCAGCCGAAGTTACTGAAAACAGGACAACAATGGCAATGTCTCTGACAGAAATGATAGTGATGAAGAAGTCGGACAGTTTTGGGGGGTTGGTACGTATTTACGCTTAGATTTGTTGGGTAAAGTCCACAGAAAGGTGGATCCTGACCCCACATTCTCTCATATTTCCACCCTAAACGTCTTTAAAAAGGATCTACACTGGTCTGATTTGACCATATTTGTTTTGTCATCACAGACTACGGCCAGCCCCAATGAAGGTTTGGGTTGAGTCCAACAGAAGTGGTTTGGATGTTCCAATCTGGATCTGCAGCCCAGGAAACAACCCCACATCATCATCTGAGCTCAGCTGAACTCGGACTTCCTGTGTTGCGGTGGCGCAGCGTTCCTTACCGTCGGTGGTCGAGCGGGATTGGCTCTTGAGGCGCAGCGATGGCCTGAAGCGGGTGCGGTCGTTGAAGCTCCAGCTCTTCTGGACTTTGGCGGGACTCGTGCTCTCCGTTCCGCCGTCGGTCACAGGAGAGCGCCGGTCGTTCCCCGAGGACGTCTGCCGGTTCTTGATGCTCTGACCGCGGGGGCTCGCCATCCTCACCCGCTCCTTGAAGCTCAGCTTCTGGCTGAGAGCGGGACGTTCAGGAGAGAAGAAAAAGAAGCCAAAACGGGTTATTCCTGCAAGTTTCAGGTCAGCGTCACAAATTCTTATTGACTTTTGTCAAAAGTTTGTTTATTTGGTGAAGGGCTGCAGAACAAGGAGGACCAGCATGCATTGCAACGAGGTCCTTATACAAAATGCAGCTCTGCTTTGCGAAGATTGTTACTCTCTAAAACCAACGAGCTCACAAGATGCTGCAACGAATCATTTTAACATTTAAACCACAAAACGATCCAAAGAAAACCGTTTTCAGATTGTGATTTTCTCAAGTTGGTCATAAAAATGTTAAAAAGAAAAAGTTTTCTTTCTTAAATTCTTGTTTAAATTTTGGGTTTCTTTAAACAAAACAAAAAAAAAATCAACTTCCCAACTCTCCTGAAAACAGGCGTATCTTTGTTTAACGTTCTGATTTTACATTTAGTTCGAAATTTAATTTGTAAACATCTAGATTTATTACAGAGGACGATGAGGCGTAGAAAAGTCAGGAAGTTTGTGTTTTACAGACAAACATGCAAAGAAAGGATTAAAGTATCAGTTTCATCTGAACACAAACGATAAAATGCGTCACCAAATTATTCTGGGTTTAAGAGGGACTACTTTCAGCTGCGGATTAATACACATTAGATGGATAGAAACAGCTTCTTAAAGCCTTTTTGTCCATATTGATATTTTGTGACAAGAAGCAGGAAATGAAGAGTTTAAACAGGAAGTGATGCGTGAGGAGCTTTTCTCTGTAAATATTGATCTGCAGCTGAAAACAAAACCCGGCTTTTTCACACCAATCCGTCAGTTTCAGAATAAAATAAAGGAAATCAGTCAGGCACAAACAGGAGCAGCTAAAACCACGGAGGACCCGTCTCCCTGCCATGCACCAGGAATTAGTCAGCATTCCCAAAGACAAACCCAGACGGGAGCCGAGTACCTAAGTCTCCGAGCGAGATGCCTCCTCAGAAGCTTCTGCTTTTTACTACCATTTTTACTAAAAACCAGAAGGAGATAAAAACCGTGAGCGTTCAAGACCGAAGAATAATTTTGTTGTTGCAGAGTCGTAAGGCTGTGAGCGCTGACATTTAGAAGCAGCAGAGCGGAGGCTTCGGAACAGGAAAATGAACGCACCCCCCAATAAATAAATAAATATATAAGAAAAGGCTGCAATTTGGTGACTCAGGCACTTCTTCACGTCGATATTCCCCCTTAAACTGCACGAACTCAGCCGGCCTCGACAACAAGCGTCTGAATCACAGCCAGTGGACAGAACCTCACACGCTCCAGCACATGAAACCGTCGTGACATCACTTCCTTTTTACATTTGTCCTCTGCTTGACCGTACGGTTCTGATCAGAAGTTCCCAGCATGGGATCACATGGCTTCAAAAGGTTTTTAAAAACCAGAACTGGAGGCACCAGCTTGGCTTTGTTCTGTGTCCACGCAGACTCGGACACACCCTGAACCTTTAAATCAGAGGTTCTGAAGGTTCTGGAGTGTCTTTTCATTGGTGATCATGATTGACTGCAGCTGGTCGCTTCTCTTTGTCAGAATAAAAATAGTTTTGTTTGATGGCGCTCGTTGGATCGAGCAACACTCGTCTGTCCCTCTTAGATGGAAGGAAACTGGTTCAGATGTTCAGGACTGACCCAGGAACCACTAAGGAACAAGTCTGGCCTGGACCAGAAACCACTGGACCACAAGTGTCCCTGTCCACCAGTGTCTCTGCCCACCAGTTTCTCTAGACACCAGTATTCCTGTCCACCAGTGTCCCTGTCCACCAGTGTCACTATCCAGCAGTGTCCCTTGTCCACCAGTGTCCCTGTCCACCAATGTCCCTATCTACCAGTGTCACTGTCCACCAGTGTCCCTATCCAGCAGTGTCACTATCCAGCAGTGTCACTGTCCACCAGTGTCCCTGTCCACAGTGAAGACAGTTTCACATCACCATGGACTGAGAGGACCAAAAAAGAAACTTCAAAACTTTCAAGCTGGACTAAAACCTGCAGCTGTCCACATGGATTGGTTGAGACAAATGTCTTCTGGAGAAAGGTTTGACAGTCAGGTGAGACACAAACTGAAATGTTTGGACACAAAGACGAGAAGGACGTTTGGAGGAGTCGAAGTGAGGCTTTCAGACCTGAGAACACTGAACCACATGTCAGGCACGGCGATGGCAGCATCATGCTTTGGAACTGAAGGGGTTGAAGGAGGAGGACTAACCCAAATTCTTCAACTTCACCACAGATCAACAGCTGGGTCCAACAGGACCATGGTCCCAAACCCACATGAAAACTGGTCTCTGATGGACCGTTAAGTTTCTGGGATGGTCTTTCCAAAGGCAGACGTCAACCTGCTTGAACGTTTGTGAACTCTGATTAAAAGTCGGATCAGAACCAGGAACCCAGTTTAAATGAAGAGGAAGAGCTGTCAGACAACAGACAGAGCTCTGGCTCCAGGAGACGTTCGGACTAAACATCGGTGGAGTTGTTGGGGGTTGTTAGAGCCTGTCTGATGTAGAACTGCTCACAGACATCGTGTGGAATAAACCCAACCTCCACCGTAAACAAACTTCTTTGAGTCTGTTAATCTCAAAGTTTTCCACCGAGCAGCTTCCTGCGTCGCTCGGCTCAGAGTTTCAACCCGCTGCATCGCACCGGCCTGCTGCAGCTCCTCGTGCTCGTCCTGGAAATGCATCATTAATACCAACACGTTTCAGGAAGATAAACACAAACAAACAAAGTAACCCGGACAACAACAGAAACCCGAGGAGAGGGTCGGTAAAAACACGTCCTAATGTGTTTGGGAGCTGCGTTTCCGTGTCGCGGAGCGTGCACGTGAGGTTTTTTTGTGCATTTTAGAGACGAAGCGTTGAACAAACAGCTCAAACAATGAGTCACGGAGTTAAAGTGGCTTTTAGCGGAGCGACACATTATCACCCATCGCCTTCAGCTCCTCCTGATGAGGTCGGCTCGTCTCTGGTAGAACAATTATCGCGGCTCTAAAAGCATTTTTCTCACCCAGACTGCAGAACAAACGTTTTTACCTTCAACTGCCAATAAATGCACGTCTGTACGGTTGATTTCTGTAGAGGTGTCTGGTTTTTAAACGGTTTAAATCTCCTGACCAAACTGTTTTGGAGAAGCAGCCGGAAGAGACCGGACAGCCTAAAAAAAACATCTCGAACATAGTTTGATTTTGGGCTCGATTTCACATGAATATTAAATAAAGTTTTATAAAACTGTGACAACAGGAATAAGGTCCAGTCCCTCGAAGAGATGAGAGTTGGGTTCCGTCTCCAGTGGAGAACTTCAAGTATCTCAGGGTTTTATTCATGAGAGAGGGACGAATGCTGCGCGAGATCTACAGATGGATCGGTGAAGCTTCTGCAGTGTTGTGGTCTCTGAGCCGGTCCGTTGTGGTGAAGAGGGTGCTGAACTGCAAAGAGAAGCTTCCAGTTTACCATTGGGTCTACGTTCCTACCCTCACTGGTGGTTCTGGACTCTGGTATCAAGGCAGCTTCTTAAGTAGGGAGGTCCAGACCTCTCTCTCCACAGCCAACTCTTCCAGATCTTCTGGGAGGACACCAAGGTGTTCCCAGACCAGTTGATAGTAGACGTGGTCTTTCCTGGGGTCTGCACCCAGTTGGACATGTCCAGAACACCTCCATAGGGGGAGGGTCCATCTTTACCAGATGTCCAAACCACCTTAACTGGCTCCTTAAGATGTGGGGGAGCAGCAACTTTATTCTTTTAGGTTTCTTTATTTCTTTTAAGACAGGTTTAGTCTTTGCTGAAGCCGCTTAGTGGCGCCGTCCATCTTAAATTGAGTTGACGCTCGTTTTCAAACTAACCTCAGATCCAGATGTTCACGTTTTCAATTCGTCTGCTTCTGCTGAAACAAACTTTTTTTAAATCTAAAACACAAAAACAGCTGCAACCAGCTGAACTACGTATTAGAACTTTTACTGATTCCACCGTAAACATCGTTGCCTTAAAACCTCCTGATATTACGACTTTAGGTTTCTCCAAATAACCGACAACAGATCTCACCGTTACCACAAAAACAAGAAAATGTTTCGTCTCTGGTTCACCTTCACCGTCCTCAAATCAAAAACTTTAAATGTTCGGTGAAACGGTCACAAACCTGGTGCTCGACTCTCCCTGCTCCCTCCTGGAAGAAGAAATGAAAAAGAAAAAAACATTTTAAAAGTTTAAAACTTAAAGATTTGATCACTAACAGCTTACAAGAACTATTCTGGTGTTTTTGCATGTTTTAGCTCTTAATTACTCGCGAACTTCACGTTAAAGCTAAACTTGTTGAAAATAAACGGATATGAATCAGAAATGTGAAATAAATTTAACTTTTTATATTAATTCATTTTCATACAGAATAAAAACAACTGACAGGATTAAAAAATATATTTTTTCTTTTGTTATTCAGAACAAAGTCTGTGATAATTAAATAAAATATGTTTTTGTGAAAATATACAACATTTTTGTTGTATTTTCTGTTTTCGTTCTTATTTTGGTTATTAGGATCATATCAACATCAAATGGCATCAAAAACTAAATGTTAGGGTTATGTCAGGAACCAAACCTAAAGTACCACAAGTTAGGACAGGTGGTACCACCTGCTGTGGTACCTTAAGGTTTGGTTCCTGCTGTGGTACCTTAAGG